ATAAATTTTCCTCCCCCTCCCTGGTCCTTGTACTGGAGAATGAACCCAGGTCCATTTTTAAATATTTTGAGACAGGGCATTCAGTTGCTAAAATGCATAGGCTGGGCTCAAATTTGCAGTCATCCTGCCTCAACATCCCAGAGTTCTGAGGTTACAGGGATTCACTCTCACACTCAGCTAAACATTCCCTCTTTATAAATTGATTAGCTTAAGTATCTTTGTTACCTTGATGGAAAGCTGACGAACACATGGATTAGAGTTAATTCTTCAAAGTAAATTGGGAATCCAAGTGTAGGTCTTTCAAATGAGGAAACACATGGTTTCTCAGGGGAATTTCTTAAACTGATAACTGACTCATTACTAATGTGCACCATGAGGACAATGATCCCTACGATGGGAGTCATCTGATTAGAAAGGATGATGTAACATTTATCCCTGACTTTAGTCAATCAGATCAGTGGTACCACTTGGTCCCGAAGGCATTTAGGTCAGCATGAACTCACCAACCAGGTTTTAAATGGATGATTATCTTGCCATAGACTTTCTCCTTGTAGGGCTATGATGGATATTGTGAAATATTTAATATAGCCTACCGTATGTGGGTTCATGACTTGGGTTAAGTGGAAAGGTCAATATTTGAAAAAGTCACCTAACTTTCCAAGTTATACACTGATGGTTTATGGGAGTTGTTTACCCTGCTGAGTGGAGGACTGTGGGGGTCAGGAACGAGGTGGTAAATATCATAGGTTATGTTTGTTCTGCTGCTTAAAAGTCCTAATGATTAATCAATTGCTATGAAATAGATTGAACTGGTATGTGGTAACCTCTGTTGGTGGCACATGCCTGTAATCCCAGCACTCTGGGAGTCCAAGGCAGAAGAGGATCATAAATTTGGGTCTCACATAGCAATTTAGTGAAACCTTGTCTCAAAATTTAAAAAGAGGGGGGAGCCAGGCATGATGGCACATGCCTGTAATCCCAGCACTTGGGAGACTGAAGGAAGAGGATCACCGTGAGTTTGAGGCCATCCTGGGATATGAAGTGAGCTCAAAGCCGGTCTGAACTACACAGGGAGCCCCTGTCTCAAAAAAAAGCAATCAACAGTAGTTTAAAGTTTAAGAGAAAGAAAAGAAACCTGAATGTTAGTACTGAGGTAACACATTCAAACAAGCAAATGACTCCACAGTAAAAATATACCAAGCACAAAACCAAATGAACAAAAAAATCCCAAATCATAAGTGGGCCAGAAGCCCTTTCCTGGAGGGCATCCCACTTTGGTGTAGAGGGAGCACCAGGGCTCGTCTGCAACTTTACATGTGCACTCAAATTATAAAGCACAAAAGACCCAAATACTTGGGGCTGGGGATTTAGCTCAGCGGCATAAGCGCCTGCCTAGTAAGCGTGTGGTCATGAGTTTGATCCCTGGTACCGGTAAAAAACAAACAAACAAACAAACAAAAAGTCCCAAATACCTACAGATTGTTCAAGCTGATCGATCGGTGAAAATAACGTGGGGAGGGGTCCCTGTGTAACCCTGGCCCCCAAATGTTGTACCCCCAAAACAAGCCCTGTGATGTTGTCAAGAAGGGAGCAAGATGTTTTTTAAAAATAAGTGCTTTTATTTAAGCTGGCACCAGTGGCGCGGTGCAGATGGAGTTTGCAAAGCTGGGCAACTGGGTTAGAATTTTGACAGATTTTTATAGCAATTAAACTGTTGATGTGATGAGAGCAAGAATGGGGAAGGCCTTTGTTCCCCTTTGCTTGGGGTTAGAGACATTTCACAGTTGGTGGTTAGCCCTTCTTTTCCTTGGTCTGCTAATTCCAGGACCATTTGTTTCTCACAAAGGGAACAAAGGCTGACACAGCAAACAGGTTACTAAGGTAACGACACATACAGAACAGTATCGCGATGCATCAGTTAATCTACGACTGTGGTCAGTGCTCCAGGTATATGGTTACTAGGGCAATAAGCATTGCACAGAATGACAGAGCTCTTTGTGCTAATAACAGTCTTTTTAACTTTGCATTTTAGCCTTTTTTTTAGCACAACAAAAGATAATGCCTTCCTCTAGTGCAAACGGCAGGCATGAATTGTTCAGTATAAAGAGGGAAATTTCTCTAAACTCTGTTTTCTCCTCTTTTCTCCAGTGCAGTCCACCATGTGTGCAGGAGTCACTGGGCCCGCTTGTGCTGCCCTGTGGGAACTGGCTCAGGAAACTGCTGGAAGAAAATGCTGGTACTTTGGCCACTGCCATTATCATCATAAGCTGTCCTTTGTCTTTAATTCAGGAGTGTCAGCTTCTGCCAGCATTTATGAAACTACAGAGAGCTAACTTGTCAGTTTCCAAATACTGTACAGTAAAATTTCTGGCTCTGCAATTCTTAACACGGTTGTTATGCTTTTAATATAGAGAATTCCATTTTGTGTGAAACTATCCTGATGAAAACAACAGAAATACAACCAATGTAGCCTTTAAAATGTTTGTATCAGCATCACTGGTCATAGAAATAGGAATGAAACATTTTTTCCCAATATTTGGACTTCTCACATTCCCAGCCCTCTTTATTATTTATTTTGAGACAGAATCTGTCCCTCTTGTCCTTAAAAATATTTTTTAGACGTGGACTTGTGTTATGGATTAAAAACTGGTGGTCAATTTAACGCCTGCTGGATTACATGGTGCTGAGTGTAGATGTTCCACCCGAGGAAAGTTGCCAGCATAAATACAGACGTGGAGGAGAAGCTTTAAGGCATTGAGGCATTGTGGGTCTACTACGTGTTGCTGTTGGGACCGCTGGTTCTCCTGGAGAAGCCCTGGTCCTCCCATCGAGCATTGCTTCCTGACTCAGGTTGGGTGGGGGGAGACATGTGCTGCTTGGTCTCCAGGATGAACTCGTCACGCTGGCTTCCTGGCAATGTACCCGACTGTGCTTGTCAGAGGAGTTCAGGGCCTCCGTGTCGCTGAGGATGGCTGTGGTGCTTTTCAAGACAGCCCCGGTCTTTGTTGTGTGACTTCTCGGCTCCAGGGTAGAACCCTCAACCCACCAGCACAGCTCCTTCACCCTGCTGACCTTTGGACCTTCACAGCACGGATTCATAAGAGACTGGCGTGAGCCCTTCTTGTGGGCTCTGGACCTCCAGTTGGACTCGTGGGAGGCCTTGTTATGAGCTCTAGGTCTTCATCTGGACTCATGTGGGACATTACTGTGGGATTTAGGTCCTTGACTAAATATTCTATGTCTTTGGTGTTGTGGATAGATTTCTTGTGTTAACTCTGGATGACCATCATAAATAATATTATAAACTCCATGTCCTGATTCTAATTGTTCTCCGTATAAACCCTGACTGCGACAACTTGCTAAGTTGCCCAGGCTGGTCATGTAATTAAAATCCTCCTGTCTCAGCTTCCTAATTAGCTGGAACTCCTGGCATGCACTTCCATACTCAGTTTAAAGCCAGGTTTTTTTACCCTGTAAGAAATGCCCATATTATACTATGAAACGGGAATGCCACAAATTATAGGCACAATCCCACTTACATTAATAACACAGAAAACACTGAAAAAAATCTGCCAAATTTTAGCAATGTCTTATCCAGAGAGATTCAGATGAATTTTTTCCTATGTATTTCCCCTTATTTTTCAAATCTCCTATGAAAGACTCGTTTATTACTGTATTATTAAAAGGAAAAATAAAGCTGATTTCCATTTTTACCACTACTATCTGATACAAAATCCTCTTTCCCCATGGCTTTGCTCAGTACACACATTTCCTAAAGACCTGCTATTCCCAGGCAGGGACGGAGGCGCAGGGAGGGAAACTATCAGTTCAAGACCAGCTATAGAGTAAAACTGTGTCTCAAAAATTATTTTCCAGTTCACACACATGGGCTGTCTTTCTGCTTGTTTTAATTATCTTCAAGTGTTTTATAGTTTTCAGTGCATGTTTTTCACTCTTAATTTCTAAATATTTTATTTTTGATGCTAGCTACTGTAATGGACTTGTTAATTTGCTTTTTATTGTTCATTATCAGTGTACAGAAACAAATCCTTGGTGTTAATTTTGTATCCTGCAACTTTGCTGAATTAGTTTATCGGTTCTAACAGCTTTTTCATTTTGGTGGAATTCTTAGGGTTTTCTGTGCGTTATGTCACCTGCAGAGATTTTTGTTTTTGAGACAGGGCCTTGCTGTAGTGTAGTGTAGTATAGTATAGACTAGCTTTGAACTCATTATATATCCGAGGCTTGCCTTAAACTCTCAGCAGTCCTCCTGGTTCAGCCTCCTGAGTGCTGGGATTACAGATGTGAGCCACCACACAAGGCTTTCTTGCCCGATTCTTCTGGCTTGAATTTCCAGTACTATGTTGAGTAGAAATGAAGAAGCGATCAAGAAGTCTGATATTAGATTGGCTATTAGATGTGTGATATTAGGCTTTCATACACGGCTTTATTACACTATTTTATTGTGTTAGTTTCTTCCAATATTTTATTGATTCTGGATTTTATGCTTCTCCAAATTTCTGGATCAACTGAAATGATCATGTGGGATGTTTCCTCCTTTATTCTGTTAATGAAACATTTTATATTGATTTGTTAAGCATGTTGTATTCCAGAAATAAGTATTACTTGGTCAGTATATACATATTTTGACCTTAATATGCTGTTGAATTTGGTTTTCCAGTATTTTTGGGTTGGGTTTGGTTTTTTGAAATAGGGTCTCACTATGTGATTTAGGTTAGCCTCAAACACATGGTGATCCTCCTGTCTCAGCCCCCCTAAATTCTGGGATTACGGGCATGAACCACCACATCTGGCTGATTTGCCAGTATTTTACTGGAGACGTTGCATCTCTAGTTATAAGAAGGCCAAGTGTGTGGTGCATGACTCAAATCCCAGCTATCAGGAAACTGAGGCAAGAGAATCACAGATGCCCGAAGTGTGAAGCCAACCTGAACCACAGTGAGAATCAACATCTCAAAAACCCCAACATTCATAATGCATTTGTTTGTAATTTTCTTTTTTATTTTGAAAGTAATAAAATACAACAGAATAAGACAGAATAAAGCCAGCTGAGACCATGTAGTGAAATTGATACAGAACTTCACAGCAGGTTACCAGGATAACAGTAATAGGCATCACAGTGTATTTTGCTATCCTTACAATAGTTGTTCTTTCAATCATGTATATCAAAAAAAAAATGAAATATAGAACATTTTAGAACTTCTTAAAACAGAATATTGAATAGAGCAGTACCATTAATCAGAAAAGAGCAAAACAGTAATAAAAATATTTGCCTTCAAAGAGATGGTAGAAGGTAACCCCCCTTATTTGCTATGGTCAACCTCCCAGGAGACGCTCAGATTTCTGTTCCCATTTGCTAACGGGGGACAGGAGAAGGGGGGTAGGGAAGTGGGATGTTTGACTCTAGGCCGTGCACTAGTAGGTTCACTATTGCTTAGCAGGGAGGCAGGCTGGTTGCTTGGTTTTCCAGCTTCATAAATTCCAACATGGCGCGGATCTCAGGAGACACTGGTTGTTCTCCCCCTGGAAGGGTCGCAGTCTGCCACACCGCATCCGCTTACCAGGGAGGGGAGCCTGTAATTTTCTTGTGATGTCTCTATCAGGGCAATATGTCCCTCAGAGAGTAAGTTAGGACATGTCTCCCCTCCAATTTTTTGGAAGACTGAGACTTGGTGTTAGTTTTTAAACACTTGGTAGATGGTTTCACCAATGGCATGATTTAGTCCAAAGCTTTTTGTTGTTGTTGGGAGATCTCTGATTACTGATTCACTGTCCTTACTAGTGACATTTTCAAATTTGTTCATTTCTTTTCTCTTTTTGGCTTGAAACAGTCTTGCTATGTAGTTCAGGCTGGCCTTGAACTCATAACAATACTCCTGCCCCACCCAAGTTCTGGGATCACAGGTGTGCACCATGCCCAGCTTCTGTTCATTCAGGATTTAATCTTAGTAGGTTTTGCATTTCTAGGAATGGCTACTAATCCATTTCATCTATGCTAGCCAGTTTGTTGGCATAGAACTGTCCATAGTATTTTCTATTTTTTATTTCTATATAATTTATAGTAATATCCCATTTTTCCATTTTCATTTCCTTAAAAAATTAGAGACAGGGCCTTGCTACATTGCTCAGTCTGGTCATTGTCTTTGGTACCAGGAATTGAACTCAGGACCTTACACTTGCCAGGCAGGCACTTGTGCCACTGGGCTGTATCCCCAGCCTTTCAGTCTGGTCTTGAACTCAAGGCATCCCCTGCCTCAGTCTTCCAAGTGCTGGGATTGTTCGTTGATAGACTTTTATTAGTACACGTTTGCAGTGTGATGATCACACTCCTTGCAGGGTGTTGGTGCATGAACATAACACATCTCAATTTTTCAGCCCCTTTTTTCCCCCATCCCTTCAGCTCTGGATCCCTTTTCTATTTAAGAAATAGCTCCCTACTTCTTATCTTTGATTTTGCTTTTACATTTTGGATTTCTCAGGAGCAAGCAGGTGACATTTAACCTTGTGTGTCTGCTTTATTTCCCTTAACATAATGGTCTCCAGGTTTATCCATTTTCCCACAAATAACTCAAACTTTTCCTTTACAGCAGAGTAGTGCTCCAGGGAGCATACTTTTTTATCCATCTGTTGATGGACACTTAGGAGCTTCCAAGATTTAGCTGTTATGAACTGTGCTGCTCTAACCATGAGTGTGCATATATCACTGTCACACAATGTCTTTAATTCATCCAGGAAGATACCTAGAAAGAGAATAGTGGGGTTAAGTGGAATCTCTAGATTTTGAGGAATTCCCAGATTCCCACCAACAATGGAGAAGGGGCCCTCCTCCTCCACAGCCCCACAGCATTTATTATTTGGTTTGAGACAGGGTCTTACTCCATAGTTCAGCCATGCCTTGAACTTGTGGTAATCCTCCTGCCTCAGCCTCCCAAGGGCTAGGATTACAAGTGTGTGCCCAGCATTCTGATTTGACAGTCATCTTTTTTCTAAGGTAAGATGAAATCTGTGTTTTAATTTGTGAACATCTCTCCATGTATTTATTGACCAATTCTACTTCTGTGATTGCTATTCATTACACTTGCCTATTTTTTGACAGTGTCTTTGATTTTTGAGTTCTTTATATCTAGATATTAGACTTAGGTCTCAGAAATAGCTGTTGATTTTCCCATTCTGTGCATTCTCTTTTGCTGTGCAGGAGCTTTTTGATATGACCCCGGCTATTGATTCTTGGTACTATTTCTTAATCAACTGGGGTTTTGTTTAGAAAGTCTTTGCTTACACCTATGACTTCAAGAGTTTTACTTACCTTATCTTCCAGCAGAGCAAGTGTTTAACATTAGATCTTTGATCCATTTTGATTTTAGTTCAGTACTCTGCACACGGAGAGCTAGTTTTCCTGAGGGCTGGGATGACAGGCATGTGCCACCCATGCCTGTTCCTGGTTATAATAATTTTTATTAGTCAATCTAGCTATACATTGTCAATTTTGTTGATCTTTTTGAACAAATTTTGCTTTCATTTATCTCCACTGTTTTTGTTTTTGTTTTTTTTTTTTTTAACCTCTATTCTACTCATTTCATCCCTTCTGCTGGTTTTGGGTTTCATTTGTATATACATTAAAGAATTCAGAGCATGTGCATAAAGTTTGGTTGTTGGTTTGAGATCTTTTAGCAATAAGTTTTTAACACTTTTTCCTTTTTTGAATTTTGTATGTTTTGACAGTTTTCAGTTTCCATGTGTCTCAAGATATTTTCTAACTTCTCTTGTGATTTCCTTTCTGAGTGTTGTCGAGTGCACCGCTGGGTGGGGGACGCAGCCCAGTGGTACAGCGCTTAACTTGTGCAGTGCCCTGGGTTTGATCTCTGGCACCGCAGAAGAGAAAAGTCGTGTGATAATTTCCACCTATTTGTCAACTTTCCAGTTTTTCTTTCGCTATTGATTTCTATTTAAGTCCACTGCGACTGGAAAATACACATACGATTTTAATATTTTTAACTTACTGAGGCTGTTTTGTGGTTTAACACAGTCTGTGCTTGAGAATGTTTTTTTTCTTTTGCACACACTGTAGTTTGGCCCCCCAGCTCCACCCCAGGTGCCAGCAATGAAGCTCTTGGGCTTGGTGGCAGTGTGTTCTCAGCATGCACAAGGCCCTGGTCAATCCCTAGCGTTAAAAATAAAGCTGTGGCCTGGCAGGAAGGCTGCCTGCCAGATCTGGGGGAACTCTGAAGAATGCTGAGCCCAGATGAGACAACTGAAGATTGAGCAGAGGCTGGTGGGTCTACAAGCCATGGATACCGACCCAAAGCAAGGTCTCAGCTGAGAGCCTTCTCCGTCACATCAGCAACACTTGCATAAAATGTTTGTCCTGTGTTTATTCGACAAATTTTTGTTTTTTTGAGACAAGGTCTTACCAAGTAGTCCAGGCTGATCTTGAATTTATGGCAATCCTTATACCTCAACCTCTTGAGTACTGGGATTACAGACCTGGGCCATCATGGCTGCTGGCATCATTAAAAGTTCTGAGTACTGTGTGTTCCAGGCACAAGGCCAGTCCTGGAAGGAACCTATCTGGGCAGGGCCTGCCTGCTCTAGGATGAGCCTGTTGTTTCCAGAGGTATGGATAATCAGTCTGATGTGTCACTTATAAATGCACGACGTGTCATTGAAACCTCTGCATTTGGCTGATTACATACTCCTTCTAGAAATGAGAGGCACAGAGATTTTTGGATCAAGAAAGATCAGAGCTAAAAAAACCTCACCAGGTCTGTAGGGCTGTCTTGTCTAAAAGAAATAAGGTACAAAGTGGACCACTGTACCTGTAGCTCAGAGAGGTTAAGGAGATCAGCATAGTTATGGTCAATCACTCCATCAGGCTTTATCATCCAAGGACTGTCCAGCCCTGACATGGACTTGCCCATGGCCAGTGAAGGCACGTGACTTTGTTCTCTGGTCAGGAGTAATAAGAGTGTGCAGAACTCCACTCCCTCACACTGCTCAGCTGCTGTGAGGCTCACAGCCTGGATTCTTGCCCTGTGAGCCCACACAGGCACTGCATTGACAATCGCCAGGGAGCTCGCTAGTGCACCAAGCCCGTCTCTCTGTGACATAAAGCAGGGCAGGCACGTGGTTGCTTCTACACATGTGGAAACCAAGGCGTAGAGAGGTGACTAACCTGGTATGTAAGTTGAGGAACAGAACCACCAGAGGTAGGCAGAAAGAAATCAAAAGATTTAAATGCAGGAATGGCTTCATGTGATGTGAGGGGCTAAGTCTGTGATCCACAGGGCAGGCCGTGGGGAAGGGCAGGACAGAACTCTTGCACACTGGCTGGTGGCCTACGCTACCTATAAATTTCCATGGCTGCTTCATGCCACAGACCGCCACTTTCCTCTTTACCATTCAAAATAGAGTCACTAGTGCCTTAAATCCAACTAAATGAGAGAATTCCAGAAAACCCAGAACCAACACTGAAAACTTATCCTTAACACTTCCCAGCTGGGTGTGGGGGCACACATCTGTAATCCCAGCACTCAGGGAGGCTGAGGCAAGAGGACTGCTGTGAGTTCAAGGCCAGCCTGGGCTACATAGTAAGCCCTGTCTGAAAAACAATTTTTTTTCCTCCTCTGGAACCACTTCTGGCACCAAAATCTGTATTTAGTCAGACCCAACGAGAAAGACAGAACCAACAGAATACATATTAAGAGATTTGTTGTAAGCAACTGAAGCCAGCGATTGTGGGGGCTGGTTAGACAAATCCAACCCGATAGCAGGCTACTGGAGGAATAGGATGAGGATGGAACTCTCAGGGGCTAAAGTTGTTGTGTCTCACATGGAACCCTGCCTGCTTTTAGATAGAGTCAGGTCCACCCAGGTTATATGAGATAATCTCACTTAGTCAACTCATTATGGACTTATCACATCAGTCAAATACTGTCACACAGGCTAAGTGTGGTAGTGAACACCTGTAAGCCCAGTTACTTGAAGAGGTTGAGACAGGGAGATTATAAACTGGAGGCCAGGTTAGGCAACTAAGTGAGACCTTGTCTCAACATTTTAAAAGGGCTGGGGGTGTATCTCAGGGGTGGCACACTTGCTCAGCATGCACAAGACCTGGGGTTCAGTTTTAGCACAACAGAAACAACTTCACACAAACATGGGCATGTTTCTGTGTACTGATAGTCCCAGCTACTAAGGAGGCCGAGACAGGAGAATTTCTTGAATCTAGGAGGCTGAGGCCAGCCTAGGCCATAGCCAGGGAACTGCAGTCATGCCAGCTGACACACCTACCGCCATGCTCTGTCACTGCATCTACCCTCTCCCTTCTCCCACCATCACACGGATACTCACGCTGACCCTCAGGTTGCTGATGGCACCTCAGGCTTGGGGCGTTCCTTCTGTCTGAATTCACTCCAACCCGCTTTTTTTGGAGGTGGAATTTTGCCATGTAGTTCAGATTGCCCTTGAATTCACTATATAGCCGAGGCTGGCCTCAAACTCACAGCAATTCTCTTGCCTCAGTCTCCCAGGATGACAGACATGTGCCATCACACCCAGCCCATCTGTCTAACTTCAAACTCACCGGCACCAGCAGGATCTGGGTATTTTTCAAAGAGCAAGGTAGAAGTCATGTAACATCAAATGAAACATGCAAAGCATATCATCAGTGGTACTTTATACATTTGCAATGTTGTGCAACCATCACCACCTCTATCTAATCTCAAAACATTACCATTGCTCTAGGAAGAAGCCTTATACCCATTTGCCCCATCCCAGTTCCCCTTGCCTGGGCATTGAAAAACCCACTGGGCAGCGTCCTTATCAGGGAGATCTTGAACACATGCAGCTTGCCCCCTGTGCTCCTTCATAAGAGGAAGAGGCACCCGCCCCTAACCCCAGGCAAGAAGGGGTGAAGCCAGCTACTCTTTCACAATGTGGGGACTGTAGTTGGGTTTGACAGCTTCAGCAAGCTCCCGTGCATACATCTCATATCTCCCAGTCATCTGAAAACAAAACACAGATACCTGTTGGAAATTCCTGTTTTAGAATCACTTGTCACTTTCACCACCACCTCTTGCCACTGGGGGGCAGCCCTGGGACAGGAATGCACTGGCTAGGTTGATTGACAGCTCAGTTCAGACTAGGAGAAGCAACCCCAGGGTGACCTCTGGGCACTGATTTCAGCGAAGTTCATAATAGCTCACATAACCTAGCCCAACTTGCTGTGACTTCTGACACATGTTCATCCCAGAGATGTGATCTTCCCTTTTGCCAGAGAATAGATCCTTGATTACATCTCCCACTCTCAGAGATCCCTGAGGCAGGAGGGATGTCCTGCGGTCCTGCAGAACCCTAGAAGAGCAGTCTAAGGGCCAGAGAGGGCGGCGACCTGCTCCAGATCCCGGGCTAGGAGAGGAAAAGGCTGGGAATTTGAACCTGGGTTTCCTGGCTGAGTCTGAGCTCTGTCTGTCCACATGACATGTCATAGATCCAGACAGAGCCTGGAGCCTGGGGCTGGAAAGCCCATCAGGTTGCTTATGCCTTTCTTCCTTCCAAAAGCCCCATCAGGATCTCACGCCCATCCCCACAGCTGGGAAGGCTTCTGCTCCAAGACAGCGTCATTCTGCTTATTGTTCCCAGTGATACGTGTTCAAAGTGCTGGCCAGTGTTCTTGGCTACAACTTCTGATTTAGGCGGAATCAATCTTGCATTGATATGAGCTGCTCCAGAGGAGTGACATGCTGAAGACATTCTCACGGACAATGCCTTGCTTTCTGACAAGGATCTGAGACTGGGAGATGTGATCAAGGATCTGTGCTCTAGCAAGAGAGGAGGCGAAGCCTAGAGTCCATCCCTGGCTCTTCATGTTAGGTAAAATCGTTTGATTATAAAAATGTGACATTTATGGGGCTCAGTTGGTGGAAACACTGATAGACGTGAATACAAGAAATCCCACAGGCATGAACCCTTCCAGGTAGCCCTGGCCTTGGCTACCACTGTCCCATTCCAGGAAGGCACTGTCCCATACCTACACAGCTCTCAGGCTCCTGATGTCACAGGGCCTTTGGCCTCAAAGATAGCATGGAGCCTTCAAATGAAGCCTCTTATTTTACAACTGGGAGCAGAAAGCTCTTGCTTAGGGTAACCCAGCAAGGCGGAGACAGAGCCAGCCTAGATCCCATTTCTCCGAGTGACCCATTTTCCTCTATTGTCAAGGCCTAGACTGTGGAGCCTGGCCTCAGGCAGAACCAGACACTCACATTTATCTTGCCATAAGTGCAAATGCCTGGAAAGGAAAAAGAATTAGAGAAGCCAATCCACTCTATTCTCTGGACAAATGAAATTGAGATTAATTTGTTTGAAGGCGCCTAGACTCTAAATCAGATGAGGGGAGAATTTATTGAAGCCTGCTGCTTGTACACTGTCTAACCCAACGGTTCCTCCTGCACTCGGCAGGGAGGCAGGGACTGGCTGGCTGCTCACCATGGAACTCTTGGGTGGAAAACGGACACCTCCCATAATACTGTCTCTGAAACTCCACAACTTTGGTTACCAGTCCTACAGGAATCAGGGTTACAGAAGGGGACTCAGGCCTTACCTTGAAGCTCCAGAGATCGTTCATCTGCCGGCAGAGGTTGAGGTCGAGTTCAGTGACCAGCAGCCCATCCCGGTTACGGGGCAGCCCAGGAGTCCGGCTGCCATCAGGGGCTGCTACATAGCTGGAGCCATAAAAATAGCCAAAGTCTTTGTGGGCTGTAAGGAGCAAAGGAAAACAGATGTGAGCTGTAATATATACAGTGTGGGCTGTGCAGAAGGGCAGGCACATAGACATACACAGGACAAGACATCCACGGCATCCTCCCTCCCCAGCACCTGCCAAATGCTGAGGCTGAACTGGTCTGTCTTCTTCCTGAGGCCAGAAGGCCCAGCAAGTGGTTGCAAAGGCCACCCGTGCAACACTCCTCTCCGCTGAGAAAATTTCCAAATGTCACCACAGTAGAGGTGTTGGCACTTCGTTCTCAATATCAACCACTCATACCCCAAGGGACTCACTGGGCTCTGGGGGCTTCCTGTGTGACTTACTTCCTGTGTGGCCCCAATGTGTAAACTGAAACCACTTACCTCCCACCTCCACACCTCAGTCCCCTCACCAGTCACAGGGTGCTGAGAACCACCCTATAGGCTCGTGAGAAATAGGTGGGTGCAGGGCTGGGCCTCTCCAGTGCAGAACCAGACACTGATTTCCCTGCCAGTCCTGTACCCCCATGGCAAAGAAGTTAACCGGGATTGGAGAATCCATAAACCTGGGGTACAATCTGTGGCCTCCTGGTGGGGACCTGGGATCCCCTTTAGGAAATGTTTTCTTGGGAAACGGATCTGCTCAGTATCCTCCATCTTCCTGGGAGCCAATTCAAACACCTTCCTTCTCACATCTCAGCCAGAGAGGTGGGACCTGGGGGTGTAGGATTCCCAGCAGAGGTGTGGCCACCCCATCCCCAGATCAAAATAGCTGTGAATGCCAGAAACCCACCTGGTGGTGTGGGGTGGGGGTGAGGGGGAACAAGGGCCAGGAAAAAGAGGTAGGGAGGTTTGCAGGCTCCCCTTTTGGGGAGTTCACAAAGGGCTCCTTCAAATCCTCTCTGGTCCATTTTACCAGCCCTCGGGTTGGGATTGATTGCAATCCAATTCCCATTATATTCCCATTTGGGGAAAGTAGTTACAGCCCCAGAACTTTGTTCCCAGCGTCAAATTTCAACACTACAAACAATAAAGCAGAGGGGTGCTAGGGCCTCCTGCTGGGTCCCAGACACAGGCTGTGGGGCAGACGCTGCCCAGAGGAAGCGGGTGGAGAAGAGGAAGCTGAGGCCCACGGCCACCAGCGTTCGTGGAACATACCTTTCCTGCCGTCTCCAGAGGTAAACTCATTGGGAAAATGTTCCTGTAAAGTAACAACAAGGTAAGAGGAACCTATAGGTGGCACCACTGAGACATTTACTGCAGATCACTTAGAGCAAGGACAGCGAGCGGAAAGGTCCGTGTGAGTGGAAATCTCAGCACTCATTGGGGAAGCAGTGACACCCCAGCCGGGGCTCGGGGAAAGCCAGAAGTGGGCCGGAAGCCCACATACTTTTGTAAAAAATATTTTCCCCAAAGCTTGATGAGAAGTACACAGCAAACTGTGATGTGGGTCACAGAGGCTAATAAAACACTGGGTTTTGCCAGGACACAGTAGTACATGTCTGTAATCCTAGCCCCGAGGGAGGCTGAAGCAGATGGATGAACAATTTAAGACCCACCCAGGCAACTCAGGGCTGGGGAGGTGGCTCAGTGGCAGAGAACCTCTGGGTTCAAGTCCCAGTACGGAAAACAAAAATGAACAAATGAATGTGGCCAACAACAAAAGCAAACAAGACAACCACTGGGTTTATGTTGGAAGAAATCGGAATGCAAACATTGCTTCTCTCATACTGATCATATGTTCTGATCTAAGTTTGATATCTGATTAGGAAAAATAATGGAGTTAATTATGCAAATAAATGCATTGTGTTTGATAGTCAAAACTACTTAGTGAATGGGCTCCATTGATCATGGAAATTAAGAAACTGGATCGCAGGACACCATGCCTGTGGTCCCAGCTTAAAGCGAAGCTGACGCAGAAGAATTGCAAGTTCAAGCTCAGCCTGGGCGACTAGGGAAGATCCTGTCTCATAAGCAAACTAAAAAGGGCCAAGGATGAAGCCTAGTGGCAGAGTGCTTGCCCAGCCTGTGCAAAGCTCTAGGTTTGGTCCTCAGTACCACATTAAATAAGTAAATAGGGCAGGGAGGAAAGAAGGAAAGACCAACTAGATACCGGGAAGTGAGAGTGAAAAATTACTAAATCAAAGATTCGTTCAGGATGATTTCAGTAAAGACAGAACAAAAGTAACAGACCAAGTCAATTTTTCCACTTCTGAGGCCCTAGATTCGGTAGCATGCATGTACAAGGAACAGAGAGAAGGGACATGATCATGTGGCCCTGTGATATGACCCCACCAAGGGCACCCGGCAGTGATGGTTCTCCACCAGACCTCAGGGACTTACCTCGCCCACGCGGTTAATGGCACACGTGAAGCAGTGATTGGCGATTGCAGCGTTTCTGGCCTCAATTGGCCAGAAGGACTCACTGTAAGGGAGGAACAGGAGGAGTCAGGCTGCCGGCTCTCCAGCCAGACTCAGTGGACGCTCAGGCCGAGCTGCAGCTGGGTGGCTGGGCTTCCCTGGCCCGTAGTGGGGACAGCCAGGGAGACTCGCTGTCCCCACGGGTCACAGCAGACCTGCTTGTCTACAGCCTACACAGCCTTCTGGGGAGGGCCTGCTGCAGGCCGAAGCTACCTGTCTATCACAACAGACTGCTCCGGACCGGATCCTCACCCTGAGCTCGTTTCCTTCTCCCAAACTCTCTGAAAAGGGGAGTAATGAAGACTAAACCATCAGGGTGTGAAGGTCCACACAGTAGGAATTCCACAGCTCTGTTTTCTACCTTTTTCTAACCCTCCTCATGGGAATCCACCTTGTGGCTGGCCTGGGCAGACCTGGTAAAAAATCAGAGAGGAGCTGGGGGCCTGATGAGCTTGGGTCTGACCTTCTGTGAGGGTGGAACATGCACTTTCTCAGCCCTGTCCCAACTGTCCTACCCTGCTGTGCTAACTTGGAAAAAAAAAAGTTTCAAAGGGGAGAATTCAGGCAGAATAAACTAGAAAGGAATTTAGGTAATGGTATGTGTGGGGGGTCACATTCTGAAGCAGAATTACTGCCTCTGAACCAATTCTTGTTTCTCAGGACCTTTCCATTTTCAGTCTCTGAACCTCACACCCCTTAAGTAGAGGCTCCCTTGTTCTGTTACTGGCCACCCCCATAGGCACTGCTGAGTTGTGAGCCTTCCTTGGTTCAGCACCCACCGAAGGAGAGTACCACGGAGACCTCACCTCCACAAGAGACCCCATCTTTTCCAGCCCACATGGAACTCAGTGGGCCTTCTGGTCACTGATTAGCTTTCACCCTGGGAATGACATCATTAAGATTCTAGATTTGCTGAACCAATGCCCACTTAGAAACTCTGAGCAACTGGGAGTGAATGCCCTGGAATCTTCCTTCCTGTCAGCGTGCACCTGGTTTAACCATGGAGTGGGTGGAGGGGGTGTGTGCTTGTCACAAGTCTAATTCTCAGGAAGATTCACCAGTCTGGAAAAGGATAAAAGGAAAAAAAAAAAATCAAGGGCTTGATTGAGGGGACTCGTTTTGCTTTTCTTTCCCCCCTCAACTGCTAAGCCAAGCTGACAAAACTTTTAAGAAAGGATTTTAACAGAAATACACTGTAGATGACATTTTCAGGAATTAAATAGATACTTGCAGAGCAGTTGCCATAAAACATCTTTCTTGCAATTCTCCAGGGAGGTGTTCCGCGTAGGACTCAAACCCACAGCTGGCAATAAAATGCATGTTCTCAAAACCACAAAGGGAAAGAAAGCTGGAGGTTTGAGAGAGTCCAGTGTGTGCAGGTTTTGGTGGAGGAACAGGGGTAACATGTTCCCAGTGTAATATACACAAACCCTAAAAATAATCACAGTGAAGGCAAAACGCACCAAGTACGTGGGATGGTGACCTTCTGACGAATGAACAAAGCAGAAATATTTGGCTACTCAGGCTGTGGTAGGCACAGCCTGGGACTGTCAGGGTTACTCAATGAATCAAAGGGCCCTTCAGTCTGTTGTGGGCCTTGAACTGTGGGACATAAATGAGTGAAGATACCTTGCTAATTCACAGTGCAGGCATAATGTGCCTGACTGCAGGGCAAAAGATAGCAGAGGAGGAGCTGGATCTTTCTGGAAGCTCCGATCTCTTGTGGTTATTTTTCCCCCCTCCTGGCACTGTGCTAAAAAACTACCAACTCTGCAAGCAATCATTTTTTAAAAATCACCCAAATCTCACCCCTACCAAGAAACCATCTATTCCCATTTTTCTGTACTCCACAACCATCCTTGCCCATAGTCCAAAAACTTTTAGATTTTGACTACAGCCTAGAAACACCTTTTTATGGCTCATGGGCTTCTGACAGGATGCTTTATTATTTTCATTATGTCTTTTTAACGGCAATAACCCACGGAAGCGTTGGGCTGAAATCTACTTAACCCTGACGCTTTCCTTATCACCATAAATATCTGCATGTGCACAGCCCTGTCCTCCTCTCACATCCCCCTTCCTCAGGCTACAGTTCTGGGAGAGTCATTATCTGACTACAGGACAGGAACAAGTTAGGAGTCCATGAAACGCTCCGCTTTCCCAAACGCCTGCAACGGCTTCTGTCGCCAGCCTCGTACACTCTGGAAAGCCGAGGGCTGGACAATTCTTGGCTGAGGAAGGGGACTCAGTCATTGTTAATGAGCCTGATAAACTGCCAGGACACAAGCGCTTCTGTCCATATTATATTGGGGTGCTTCTGCTTGCTTAATTGGGGTTAATAAAAGCCTGAGATAGCAGGTTCTGGGAGGGCCTCTGCAGTTTGGGTCTGTGGCCAGAAGCCAGTTCAGCCCCAGCTGCCCCTGGGGGTTGGACTTTCGGTTTCTTTAATAATCCCTGTGGCGGAAAGCAGAACTATTAGAATGTCTCATATTATAAATGGCCTGGGAGGATATTTGAGGGGACCAAGGTTTTGCATAGGTCCAGTGGCTAGCTGACCAGTAATTACCTTGCCTCAAGAACACCAATGGAACCTCACATGGTGGTGCACACCTATAATCCCAGCACTCAGGAGGTTGAAGAAGGAGGTTCACTGTGAGTTTGAGGCCAGCTTGGGCTATATAGTAAGTTCAAGGCCAGCCTGCACTACATAGCAAGACCTTGTCTCAAAAAGACAAACAAAACAAACACACCAATGGACACTCACTGGTGCTTAAGCCACTATGAAAACCTGATATATTTTCTGAGGGAAAACCCCAAGAAAGATCTAAGGCTTACTATTGTACTTTGACCCAACAGCACAGACAAGGCTGTGATACTGAGGTAAGAGACTGGGGGCTCCACTGTGACCTGACTAGGAACCTGCTATGCAAACTCTGAAGCTCGGGTGATGTCACGAGAGAGAGAGACAGAGGGACACATGTATAAAAGAAAAGGTGCAGTAAACATCACATTCTGACATCTAGAAACCAGACTGAGATTTTGTTGAGAGTTAGAGACAAGTGTGGGCCAGCAGAACTGAAAGCTGCCCACCAGAACTCCCTCCACAGGCCTCCAACATTGGGCCCAGCCTTGCCGGGACCTGAGCAATCGGACTGTATAGAGGAGAAGCCATCAGCTCTTGCTGCAGGCTTCCTGCTTTGGAAGAAGAGAGTTGGAAAGAGAAAACGTTTCCACAAATTCCTAGAGTTCTGTTACTTGTCATGATGCAAACCTGGAAGCCACCCAAATGCTCAGCTGTAGGGGAAGAGGGAATCAGCAGGACAGTCATGCAAGGTGCTCTAAGCTTACTTGCTGCCCTTACTAGATGAGGAGCACTGGGGGTCCTGCCTAGGAGCTTAGGAACCAAGAGCACTCAGGTCCACCTTGCCCAGCCATGCCTTAACCAGAGCACTTATCTGAGACTTAACACCCAACACTTACTGTTAGGCGTTACTAAGGATTAGCTAAAAATAAGTTTCTGGGGTTGATATTTTAAGCACCCTCTGGGCCCCTTTCACCTCCTCTTTGCCTCACCTGGATGTGTGTTCCCTTGCTGGATACTACAGTCTCCATGTGCAGGAGTCCATAGCCCTTTGTCCAGGAGCTAACACTAGCCAGGTACTTACTGTGCTCCAGGACTGAAAAGGAGGACTTTCTGAATCTCAGTGATCATGCAGGTGGTGGTAGCAATATTTTCACTTCAAAGTTCAGAATCATAGCAAAGGTTGGTGCCTCACAGTAGAGTGAGAAGCTCTTTGGGAATCAGGAGTTGTGTCAGCTTAAGAATTCTTTTCACTAAAAAACTGGTTAAATGTGAAACGTACAACCAGGGTTCCGATCTGTTAAGATGTTCTGATAGCCATGTCTTAATTGTCGAAGTTTATAAACCCCACCTCTGAGCCCTGTGCATCACGGCCTTGGGCCTGAACTGGTGGCCAGGCCCCAGAGAAACCCCAGATCCTGCCCACACAGTCACCTGAGGTTGCCAGTGGTGGCCGAGGGGTTGAAGATGATCTCTGCCCCATTGATGCTGTACATAAGCCAGTTGAGGGGGTGGTGCCGTCCATAACAAATGTTCACTGCGATCTTGCCAAACTGCGTCTGGAACACGGGGTGGCCCAGGTTCCCCTCCATGTAGTAAGTTGACTAAAAAACAGCAACAGCAACAACAACAGAAAAACTGTTACACTGATGCCTCAGCACGATAAGAATTGCTCTTTCTTTAGACTCAGCAGAAAACATGAACTATTACCAATACTCCAAAAGTAATTTCAGAATGGTAAACAATACACACAGAGAAATCCAGATACAAAAATAAATCTACTCCAAGGGGAAGCTACTGCGGTTTTAAGCATTTATCTGTAACCTCCTTTGCTTTGTGTCAAAAATTCCCAAAGTAACTTTCCATGATATTTCAAGAATAGACTGTGGGAGGGGGCGTCCATCAAGGCAGAAGTAAAGGCTGAGGTCTTGCTGACCTCACCATGAGCTGAAGTCCTCGGCAAGCTCATGTTCTTTACAGGACATTAGTGTTGAAGGGACTCTGATTCATGCAGACCAAGCCTCTAGAAAACACTGTCACCTGAGTGGGGCTGGGACACAGCCACAGAGCAGCTGGGTGGTAACTCCACTCCCCCATCCCTGTCTCTCTGCCTGTCCAGCCCTGGATCTTTCATCACCCAGAGAGGGTGGAGGGAAGGGGGATCCCAAACAGGTCTACTCCTGGAGCCTTTTTCCATTTCTTATTAATTTCACAATCGCCCCGGCTCAGGCAGCAACCAGGATGTGCATCCATGGTAGACACTGGCACAGCCCTGCTGCCCTGAGACCAGCCCTGAGCTACCTGCAGGAGGTAAAGATTAACCCGAGGACAAGCAAATGGCATGTCTGTCCACCCACCGCCAACTGTTACTGAGAAACAATGGGCTCTTCTCTCACCCTGGGAACTTGGTCTGGCCCTGGTCTCTCATCCTCCTCAACAGCCTGAGCACAGCCAGGCCCCCAACAGCAGAGAAAGAGGATAAAGGCCAGAGGACAGCACAAACCTCAACAACTGTGCCTATCTGAAAATCAAGTTCAGATGTAATATCTTAGGCATTAGGTGAGGGTCACTTCCCTTCTTTATTTTTTTTAAATCTTTTTTTTTTTTTTAAATCGGTACCAGAGATCAAATTCACGACCGCACGCTTGCAAAGCAGGTGCTTATGCTGCTGAGTTAAATCCCCAGCCCTTACTTACCTACTTTAAACACCCACCCCTCCATCTCACCCACTCGCAAGTCAGCACTAATCAAAGTACCCTCCCAACTTATGCCCGGACCAGAGAGGTAAAAAGTGCCATATAACACACAGGCACCCAGACAGGCACAGTAACCTCCTGCCGCCCTACACATGTACAAAAACCACATATACAAAAAACCCTATTGTGCTTAAAAGTGCTTGGGACTCACCCGAGTCTGACACGAATCCCACCTGCCTGTGTGACACAGGACAATGTCACTCCACATGGAGCTTTCCCCCAGAAAGGCCCAGTGATCTACACAGGGAAGGGGACAGGCAGGCTGGGCTGGTCATCCAAAAGCAGCTCACCTCGTTGAAATCGCCCACTCTCGGGATGTGGTTTTTTCTCGTCTTGCCCAGGACTGCACCAGAATTAGAGATCACCACGGCTGTATTCCACAGAACATCCCCATGATCATGGTCTCGTTCCAGGATGGGGGATATCACTACCATGCCATGCTTCTTTGCCAGCTGGAAAAATGAACACCACAGAATTCTTCTTTCAAATCAATGGTACCTTTCCCACAGGAGCATTTAATGCTGCCACTAAATAATAAGGCTCGGTTCAGAACTTCCCTTCGCAGCCAAGGTCCCCCTGACGTCCAGGCTTAGCTAAATAAGAACAGTCACCATCCTTGTGAACTGCTGGTGAGAATACAGAAGGGTGTGGCCACCATGAAAAACTACAGCAGTTCCTCCAAAAATGAAACATAGAATCACACGATAACCACTTTTGCCAACAGAACTGAAAGTGGGAACTCAAAGAGGTGGTTCCACACACATACTTAAGGCAGCACTATTCGTAACAGCCACGAGGCAGAAGCCACCCAGGTGCCCGTCAACAAGTGAGTGCCGCTCCGTAGGGTGGCACGGACCTGTAATCTCAGGACTCTGGGAGGCTGAGGCAGGAGAATCACAAGTTTGAGCCCAGCCTGAGCATCTTCATGACTTAGTGAGGCCTTGCCTCAAAATAATTAAAAGAATCTGGGGATGTAGCTCAGTGTGAAGGCCCTGGGATTTAACCCCCAGTAAGGCTACAAAAATTAAAGTCAAAAAACAAATACAGATGAACAGACAAGTAAAATGTGGTATATAGAAACAGTGGAATAGTATTTGCCTTTAGAAGTAAGAAAATCCTGTCACACATTACACTGTGACTAAACCTTGAGGACATTATGCTTAAAGAAACCAGCCAGTCAAAAAAGACAAATACTATATATAAGATATCTAGAATAATCAAATTCAGAGAAAAAGTACAAAGGTGCTTGCCAGCGCCTAGGAACAAAAAAGAATGGGTAACTATTATTTAATAGGTCTCTGACTTGCAAGATGCAGAAGTTCTGGAGATCTGTATCACAACAATGTGCATCACCAAACCACACATGTAAAAATGGGTAAGATGGTAAACTATATTATATGCCCCCTTTTTTTTTTGTCTTTTGAGACAGGGTCTCACTATTGCAGTTCAGGCTGGCCTTGAGCTCACTTTGTAGACCAGGATAGTTTTGAATTTACAATGATCCTCCTGCCTCAGCCTCCCAAATGCTGGGATTACAGGCATGAGCCACCATGCCCGGCTTGTTATATGCTTTTATCACAATAAACAAATTTACCAACAGGGAGCCTGATCCACTTTTAACAACAAGGCCAAGCTTTTGTGGTCTAATCACCTTTAAAGGTCCTATTTCTTGGGGTTGGGGATATAGCTCAGGGATACAGCACCTGTCTGGTAAGGCCCTTAGTTCAATTCCTGGTACCAAAAAATAAAAATAAATAAATAAAAATAAAAAAGCCCTTTCTCTCAACACAGTAGAAACACATTAAGTTTCTAGCACATCAATTTTGGGAGACACAAGCCCCAGCAGGCACTAAATCACTTTGGCCTCAAGAAAGAACATCAGAACCTAGTGACTAAGGATGAAGGGTTTCAGCTACCATCTGTCCTCAGTTCTTATCAGTTCATCGTTACCTCTGGCCCTTTTGTTTTGTTTCTTGAGATAGGGCCTCGCTATGCAGCTCAGGTCAGCCTTGAGATCATTATATAGCCCAGGCTGGTCTCAAACTCAGGGATCCTCCTGCCTCAGTCTCCTGAATGCTGGGGTTGGGAGCATGTGCCACAGTGCCCAGCTCCCTTACCTCTGGCTTTACAGACAGTAGAGAAGGAAAGACACACTTCAAGGGCAGTTTTAAAGGTGGTGCTAAGGGCAGCTTGGGCTCCTGGACACTCTTGATGTTGACAGTGCCCCCGGCACCAGCTCTCACCCAGACTCTTCTTCCAGGGTTACCAACAACAATAGCCCCCTTTCCATAGCAACACCCGATGGATTGAGAACACACACACTTAGCATCGCGACGCAGTATTGGTAAAAATCACTGTGACTGTGGCTCTGCCTCCCCAAAACCGTAAGTATATGTACGACGTCTAAAAGAACACACAGGAAATGGAAAGAGTTTTGTTAGAGATGAGAATAAGGATAAACTCTCCATGCCCTCTTTGACTGTCAGGGAGTTTTCCGATAACAGCTCTATTAAGATGTAATTCATGCAGCCTAAAACTCTGCCTGTCTCTCTCTTTGGCAGAGCTGGGGATTGAACCTAGGGCTTCATGCACAATATAGGCAGATGCTTCACCACCGAGCTACACCACCAGCTCCAAAACGGACTGTTTTACATTGTAAAATACAGTGAGTTCTGCAACCATCACCACAATCTAATTCTGGAACATTTTCATGATCCCAGGCGGAAATCCTGTGCTCATTAGCCGTCACCCCTTCTCTCACCCTGGCCCCGGCAACCACAAATTTGCTTTCTGTCCTTAGAGATCTGCCTACTCTGGACAGCTCTTATAAATGGGATCATATCCCATGTATTATGAAGCTTTAATAAAGAAAAATCAAAACCAATTTCTACACTGATGAGACAGAGTCAGGCTAATGGCAAGTCAGCAGGCGAAGCTCTGGACAAGGAATCAATGTCCCCACTCTTTAAGTGCTACTTTGCCACTGGCCAGCCTTAATACAAAGTCACCCCCAGGCCACCCCTCCCTGGGCTATAGCTCCCTTACCTGGAAAAGCCACAAAGGGTACTCGGGGTTCTGCAACTCTATCATTTTAAATAAAAGTACACTGATTTAGAAAAAATGGTGGCAAATAGGCTTATCTTATCTTACTTGATAAAACAAGCACCAAACAGGTACATTTTCCAAGGTAAAGGGTCACATCTGATGGCTGTGGCCACATCCTGCAGCCTGTGCAGGACCAGCAGCCACGGACTTGTTCATTTCCTACCTTCTGACAGAGCCTGGTGGTGAGACCATCCTCCGCTGACTCGGCAAATTCCGTCCAAGGAAGCTTCTCTCTTGTACAGAAAGCAAAGGGCATAGCTGAAAAGAGGATAAAGGTCAGACTCTTATCACACACAGCCTGAGAGGTGCTCTTAGGCTCAGTAGCCGGAGGTCACCATGGGGACAGGCAGCTATCTTCAGAAATAAGAAAAGGCACTCAGTGATCCTAACAAGGACACCTGCTACTACTGGACACATCCAAGAATAAATGCATTATGATTCCCACAGTTTCTTTCTACCCCTACTAGACGGTTAATTCAATGGGTAACTTCACTGAGCCCACTGGGTCTTGTTTCAGACTTTAAGTTGGCTTACTTGCAAGTATGCTGGGGACGGAGCCCAGGCCCTGCACGTGCTAGGAAAATACTCTATCACTGAGCTACATCCCCAGCCCTAAACTCATAGTTTTGATTTCTATTTTTTTCCAAACAGTACACATGTAGGTGTTTGCCAGCCTCCCACACCCTAGGTTCCAAAATGGTGGCTTCCTGTTTGGGGGTCAAAGGGAAATACTCTGAGGGGGTGGGTACTAGGACCTTTGGCTGTGTAATGTTATACTACTGTTCCAGCCACATCTGGAACATGTGCAGCACCTAGAGGTATTGCTAATATCTGCCAGTGTTCCGTGTGAACTGGTACCTCACTGTATTTCAGATGTCTCTCCCTTGGCTGGGGAGGTAGCTCAGTGAATGGCAGAACACTGGCCCAGCATGCATGAGGTCCTGAGTTCAATCATCAGCACTGTAAAAACAAAGTAAAGCCAAACATGCACACATCACACACTTACCCTCATCACTAACAAGAGTGCATGCTTTATCACGTTTCCTGGTCATGTTGGATTCATTCTCTGCATTGTCTACACCCCACCCACTCTCCACTTCCTACTGGGATGTTTGACATTTTTTTCTTCGAGTATGGAGTTTCCTGTGGTCAACTCTGCACACTTTTTAGCTCTGCACCATCACATGAACCCAAGTCCATTTCTTTTAGAGATTAGAGATTAACCTAATGGAAGTTTCTAGATGTCTGCTATCATTCCACTGAATTGGCCAACTTGCAAGAAGCGTCCACAGGAGAATTCATGATGTGGTTGGGTGGTGTCCTATTTAAGGGTCACAATGGCAGGCATCTGCCAAACATTTCCCAAACATGGCTCTAGGTGTAGTAACACCCCCAAACCAGCTGTGATTCTCTACTTCGCAGAGAAAGAAGAGAAGCCATGGCTGTCCAATTCCGTACAGTTCCACAACACTGGGTCCTAAGACTGTGTAAGAGTGAACACATCACCAGTGGCATTTCCAGGCTCTTAGCTGCCCGAGCAAATTACAGGTGCTGCCAGCAACAGTCCCCAGGGGTTTGGTACCAGGCTTAAGAGTCCTCAGGGTCCCTTTGGTAAAGACGGATAAACTATTTTAAGGAAGTCAACAAAAATCTGTTGACAACAAAAATGTTCCTTAATGGCCATTAATTCTCAGCTTTTAGAGCATTAGGAATGACTCAAATGTCCCTGGAGAATAAAATCTACCATGATGATTTCATTTCAAATTGATAAAGTTCCAAATTTCTGTTTCCATTTTAATAGGTTCTTTTCCTGTTTATACAAATACTCTAACATAAATTTTCAAAAGGAGAGTGTGGAATGAACGTTGAGGGAGGCCAGGAATTAGGCAAAGTCCTAATTTTGGTTTTCCAACTGGCAGGGAAGGGGTTCCCATATTCATGGACCCAGCGTGGAGTCAGGCTCTTGACTCAGACCTGGCTTTGCCCTTGGGAACTCCCAGCCTTGAGAAAAAGAGCCTAATTGGGATCTAGGATTCTTATCCTGGTAGGACAGAGTGCTCAACTCTGCCAGGGGGAGTTCCTAGGGCCCCATCAAGGAAGTGTCTGTACTAAGTTTTGTTAGATGAGCAGGAGGTCCAGTCTAACAAAAGGCAGGAGTTGGTTAAGACAGTCAATAAATATTTTTAGCGCCTGTCATGTACCAGGGGTTGTGGTAGCCATGACATATGATGCTCCCATGTAGCGATGGGCAAACCAAATGAACACCGGCACTGGCCTTCTGGTGTTTACGGTTTAATGGCGGCAGCAGACAAAGGGTCCCAGAAACAAGAGTGAAAGCACAAACATGAACAAATGGGAAAAACAACACAAACACCACTGTGCTGGACCACAAGGCAGAATAATCCTCTCCCGGGGAGTCTGGCCAGACTGAAGGGAGCGATCCTGAGATACTGACGCCAAGATTACCCAGGGATTACCACTAACTCGGATCCTGTAATGGAGCTCGGTGATGAGCTTTTTAATCCCCAGTTCTTAAAAGCACAATCACACACAGAAAAGATCAATTTAAAGCAGGGACTGCAAAAGGAAGAAAATTTTACTTAATATTAGCATCTCCCGAAATAAGAGGATATTGCAACAATAATAGAAATGATAAAACAGGCCTTTGGCAAAATACTTGTAAATTCAAAACATGACAGCAGAAATGAAAGAATAAATTGAAGGCTTGAATGACAAATTGGATGAAACTGAGTAAGACAAAGAGATGTAGAAGGAAATACATAAGAATACAGCATCCTAACAGTAGAAAAATCAGGAAGGAGAAAAAAAAGGGAAATTAGTGTGAAATAAAAACTATACGAGGTCATTGTTTTGGACTGGGGTCCTACACTGGGCCCCAACAAAGTAGACTGAAAATCAAGGTAACATCACTCACACTGAAGTGGTGTCACCAAACAGAAACTAAACTGTTACCGACCTTAGGAAAGAGAAACGATAATCGAATTTCCCAAACAGGCCAGTTTTGACGAGCGTGGTAATATTTCCTCTGCTTTAATATTTACGAAAGAAGTAACCCGATGTCAACCAACCAGTTATTTTTCTAAAGTTCTGCCTCCCTGGCCCTGCCTTACAAGAAAGGAAACTTTGAAACAACCAATCCTCAATTTGTTCCATTTTACTCAGTTCAACTTTTCTCAGTCTATGAAGCCAACCTCTTCTGCTCGGCTCACTGGAACACTTATTTTATAGAAAAAGCTTTCTTAATTCTAGAATCACAAATAAAGCCAATTAAAACTGCAACTAATTTTGTCTTTTGACAGGGCAAAGAACTAATTAAATAAAACAAGAATCTCTAGCCTCACGCACACAAGGCCCTGGGTTCAATCCCCACCATCACCTAAGTAAATAAATAAATGTACAAAATAAAACAAGGAAATCTAGATCTACAAGACCTGTTTTCTAGACTGAATCAACAGTGTGAGCCGAACAAGGTAGAAAGGGCCACAGGGTAGGTTATTATTATGAAATTGCAGAGTGTCAGCGAAGACCCTGCAAACTTCAAGAGAAAAAGCAAATCACAACGGATCACACATCCATTGATTTGGGGCTGGCCAATAACTCCAAGCTAGAAGACTTCAGGGCAACAAGTGCACATTTCTAAAGGCAAATGGTTTCTGAACCAGAATTTGATACCAATCCAAACTACCAAGCAAGTTGCAGAGATACGTATCAGATTCACGTGGTCTCAAAATAGTTACACCTCCTAAGAGCAAACCCAGAAAGGAAGGGAAAGAAACTCTAGGAAGACAGGAAGGGAGAGCCCTGGATAACAGCTGTGCGGCCAGCAGAGGGGGCAACTCATCCGAGCAGGCAGAGAGAGAAGGCTGGAAACTGCCTGATGCGTCCAACTGGAGGACACTGGCCGAAGGTATAGGGTTGGACTACCGGTAAGTATGTAGAAAACAAAGCAAACTGTAGGGGAAACAGAAAACGATTCCAGAAAAGACATCAACATTGACAGAATGGCTTGGCAGAGCTGGATGTGGCCAGAACCAGGAGCACGCGTGTGTGCAGGGTGGGCAAAGGCCCAAAGGCCTAACGCTGACTTCTTTCATGGTAAGAAGTCAACAGATGATGTGAAATGGAAATATGAGGAAGCAGCAAGGGAAACAAAGATAAATTCCAACTAGATGTAATGGCGTGTAATAATCCCCACAGCTCGGTAGGCTGAGGCGGGAAGACACCAAATTGAAGGTCAGCTGTGCAATGTAGTGAGACCCTGCCTCAAAATAAAACACTTTTAAAAAGGGGGCTGGGAATGTAGCTTAGCATAAAGGGTCTGGGTTCAATCCCAAGTACCACAAAGGAAAAAAAAAAAAAAAAAAAGCAAATTTTGAAGGAATTTTTTTTTCCATTTTTTCTTTTCTTTCTTTTTTTTCTTTTTGTCTTTTTCATTTTTATCGGTACCGGGGATCAAACTCACGGCCGCCTGCTTGCAAGGCAGGTGCTTATGTTGCTGAGCCAAATCCCCAGCCCCTTTTTTCCATTTTTTAAAAACTTTATTTTAAAAAGAAAAATCAAGAAGGAAACAAACCTAAACAACAATAGCTATACAGATTTTCAAAACAAGATGATAGGACTTTAACAATGGTTGTTATACTGCATATTGTTATCTTCAAAATAGTTGCTCAGGTTACCAGGTACAGGAATACAACGAAACAGTAGAATGGAACAAAACATTGCATTTCAAAAACAAGACAAGAGGAAATCCCCAGCAGTCACTCCACTCACACTGCCATCCTCCACATAGATGCCCAGACCACCAGAGGGTTCAAAGAGGTTGTCTCGGGGAAAACAGATACTTTGATAACAGACCTCGGAGATCAGTGTTGATTCTAAACCACCAGCATGAACCACCTTGAGAAAAACTTAAAAAAAAATAACAAAGAATGACTAGATAACTCAAATTTACATAGGGAATTTGGCCAGCTGGCTCTGAGGTGAGGTCTGAAGGGAAGTTGGGTGAGGAGGGGTGAATGGGGGGTAAATAATTATAAAGGCTGAGAGGGGCTGGGGGTGGAGCTTAGCGGTAGAGCACAGGCCTTGGGGTTGATCTCTAGTACTATACCTCCCTGCTCCCCCAAAAAACCAAAGCTGAGGAGAGACTGCTGCTGGGGCTTAGACCAGGACAGTGACAGAGAACAGGAGGTGTGAAATGGAGTCAGAAAGATGTGGAAGGCAAACCGGGCGTGGTGGCTCACGCCTGTAGTCCCAGTACTCTAGAAGCTGAGGCAGGAGGATCCTTTTGTGTTCAAGACCAGCCTGGGCTACAAAGTGAGCTCAAGGCCAGGCTGAACTGCATAGAGAGACCCTGTCTCAAAAAGACAAAACATGAAAAAATTAAAAAGATGTGGAAGGCAGAATCAAAAGGACTGAATAACACAACAGGTGATTGAGAGAAAGGCAGGCCAACGTTTTTGGTGTTGATGACAAATAGCCTTTCTACGGATGAGAAAAGAAAGGAAAAAAGTTTTGAAATTGGGTAGCAAATTTTGAAGTTGGCATTGTGGAGATAAGACACAATCGTTTAAACAAAAGTGGCTGAGAAAGTGTTACAGGCAGCTGAGCTAGTTAGAAATACAGGCAGTCAGACAGGGCTAGGCCCTCCAAGAAACCAGCACAGAGGACCAGATGTCTTGTTAATCATTTTAACAATAACCCACAACCTTCGGACCAACTAGACCAGATGTCTTGTGACCCTGGAGGAGACACACACCTCTTGCTGTGGGCCGTATCTCAAAACAGAAGGCAAAACAAATGCAACCACACCCTTAAATATAATCCTTAGGGATTAAATCTGGATCACCCCGGGAAGCCAGGAGTCACCATCCCAACCCCCTACAGGGAGAGTCACTGATCCATAAGGCATGCTCGCTTGTTACTTGTTATGTGACTCGCTTCCCCATTTGTCCCTAATTTGCTCAGTTTTACCTGAAGAATTAAACTTATTGGTTGACTGTAGCTCTGTCCCACCTCATGCCGGCCTACCTTGCAAGTTTCTTATGTAGATCCACCTCATGGTTTTACTCTATAAAAATTCCTAGAAAATATGGAATCTGGCAAGCCACTCAGGACCCCTTCTGTCTCTCTCAGACAGAAGCTTTCTTTCTCTCAATAAATATTTCTGCTCTTAACCTCCATTGGTCCTAAAATTCATTCTTCGATTTTAGAGAGCACGAACTCGTCCTGAACATACAGTAGGTTGGGTGTTTCAATCCCCTATAGCAAAAGCACCGCAAAAGAGACTTACTCCACGCTTCCTGGAAACAAATGATGTTGACTCCGCACATTGCAGCCACCTCGACAATGGCCTCGATGCGTCTGTGGATGGTAGAGACCTGATGATTTGAAAAGCGAGGGTTAGGACCCATTCATCGCTACCAGTGACACAGTTGTGTAGTTCATCCCAAAATACATGGGACAATTAAACTCCCACCTGGGCAGGTGCGAGTAGGCAGGAGCAGTTCTAATATCCGAGTTCGCTCATCAGGCCAAACTCAGGCAAGCAGCACTGGAGACGCCTGGATGCTGCCTCCACTTCCTCACCTGGCAACCGGAAAGCCCACACCCGCCTAGGAGGGTTGCTGAGGCGTGGAGGATGGTTCTGCTTACCGGATGCAGGGTGCACGGGCACAGGTGTGCTCACGCCATCACCCCGACTCGCTGCTCCCTCAGCCAGGCACAGTCCCCCTTGCACCGTCCTGCACTAGAGCTGTTAGGCTTGCCTGGCCTGGCCACTGTGCTGTGCCACTCTCATCTGCCATGCCCCGTGTTTTGGACTCTAAACCTTCATGTGTTACAGTGTGGCGTTGCAGGAATGTGCCTCCCCCGACGCACACATTCAGTCTACCTGGAGGTGGGAGCCCTCAATAGACTCTCCCGACCACCCCTGGGTGCCCCCCTTCAGCACACTATTCCCACTGTGCTGCTACTCGCTGCCTGCTGCCCGTCACTCTCAAGACCCCACAGGGTCCCTAGGTGCAGAAAGAAAGCATCCTTGGCTCTCAGTCCGCAGTACAAAGCCTGGTTCCCGGAGATACTCAGAAATGTTTGTTCCAAGGCAGACTCAAGGACTCAGGCTGGAAACTCAGCAAGGACAAACTCTCCATCCAGTGCTTAGTCTCTTCCCCTGAGGCTGTGGCTCCAGCCGCCATGAATATTTGCTGCCAGCATCAGCCATGCACACACACATTTGCTCAAGCTGGCAACATGCAGGGTACCTCTAGGTACTGGGGCAGTGGACAGCTCTGGTGCTACAGCCCGGCCGTCCTGAATCCTAGAGGGGCACGTTCACAAACGAGGAGTCCAGAGAGAAAAGTAATCAGAACCAGACATCCCTCTGGGGTTGGGTGGGGGGGAGTGCTGGGCACTGAACTCGGGGTCTCACGCGTGCCTGCCACTGAGCTATATATCCCCAGGCCCCAAACTTTAGTCCAACAAAAACAACAAGAAGGACCGGCAGGAAAGCTGACAAAGAACCAGATATGGGACCCAAGTGACCTTAGAATTCTTGAGAACCCCTAGAAAGTCTACAGTATTCAGAGAAAGCTACCAAACTTTGAGGAGCTGGAGGAATGTGACCAAGGAGTTTATAAAACAAACATGCTGGTGGCATGTTGCTTTAGGTAAATACAAAATGATGTCACATTTATTTACAAAGCATAAGGTCGTAAGTGTCATATTCCTGACGGAAGGCACCATTGGCCGCAGACTTTTTGGAATAATGAGTCCCTGACCCTCAGGATTAAGGCAGAGAGATACAGGGCAGTACTGTGACTGCCAGCCTCCTGGCAGCTTCCTGGCAGGCAGTGGCCTGTGCAGAGAGCTTGAGTTGGACCAAGGGGCGCTCTCCTGGTTGGTAAAGGGAACCCTGGATTATTGGTGTGACAGGAATTTGGAAGGAAAGGTGGAAAAAAACAGTGAGGGCTGACAGGTAGACAGAGCGAAAGTGCAAACAGAAGCAGCCGGAGAGCGCTGGTGAGGTAGCTCAGTGGTAAAGCGCTCACCTAACATGCTGAGACTCAGGGCTCAAGTCCCACTAGGCTCCCACAACAAACAAAAGGACGTTTAGCTAGGCCTAGTGATGCTCCTAATTCCAGCATTTAGGAGGCGGAGGCAGGAGAATCACTAGGCCATCGTAGTCTACACAGCATGACCTTGTCTCAGAAAATTAAAACCACCAAATAAATACAACAAAACAGGAAGGAGAGAGAGGAAAAGAGAAAGAAGGCGAGAGAGGAAGAGAGAGAACCAAATACACAGCTAGAGAAAAGTAGAGAAGTCAGGGCAGAAGTACGTTGGTTGCCCTTTGAGGTGCTGGCCCTGGGTCCCCAAATGGCCAGCCAGGGAGTATGATGTGTTTAAAACAAAGGGCGAGCAGGGTCCCCTTTTATGTATTTATGGTAAGAGAGGCTGCACCTGTTCCGCCACGGGGGTTTTCGCGGGGAGAGGGATTCTGTGTTGCACGAGCCCCACTCGCAGGAGCCGGGGGTGTCTTATCTGCTCCTCCGCTGCCGGAAAGGCATATCCCTGCAGGTCAAAGTCACATTGGCGGGCAGCTTCAAAAGCTCTCTCGGGCAGGTCGAGCCTCCTAAATGGGCAGGAAAGGGGAGAGAGGATTTCAGTGAGATTCTCTGCATTTAAGATCCAACCCCACAATAATCTCCAGAACAATTAAAAATCCTCTCGTGCCCTTCATAGTCAGGTAAAGAATCAAGGTGAGGGCATCCTGTCACCAGAGTCAGAGGGGCCAGGGAATCCAAGGGCTGGCTGAGTGCACATTACACTGAGCCTGGACTTTATCTGCAGTCAACAGGGAGACTTCAGGGAGGTGGGTGGTTAGCCTTGGCAAGAGCGGGGAGCGTGACCAGTCAAAAGGCTGGCATTTTGGAGTTAATGAACTCAGGGCAGAGATCAAAGTCCCAGCAGGCAGCAGAGAAGAGCAAACCAGTTCCAAAAAATATTTCTGAACTAGAATTAGAGAGTGGTGTAAAGCCCAGGAAAAGAAGTGAGCTGGGATAACAGAGATGGGCACGATGGAGGCCAAGAACTGCGACCAGCAGGAGGACCTGTGGCCATTCGCCCTACAGAAGTGGAGCCTGAGGCAAGCGAGTCCCCAGGGCTCTCCTTTCTATGGCCCCCGTGGTGTGTGTGTCCATCCTATGTCTGGAGCTGGATGGACCTGATGTGGTACAGGTGGTCAGACTCAAGTCCCAGGTGCCCATCCAAGTTTGTGATTTATTAACAAACGCCACAGGGTTATTTACAAAACCTCCCACTAAAGTGACCACTGGTGGGGCAGCCATGCCTCCTGATAGCCGTTGTGAGCGAGGACTGGGTAAAACTCTCAGACACACAGTTCACGGCCCCAGGCCAGGAAGGCCTTACCATCTGAGGGTGAGGCGATTATGAAATACCCAGAGAACACATCAAAAATAACCTGACAGCCATTATCTAATAATAATATTTCTCTCCTACTTTAAATCACTTTCTTAAAGTCGTTTCTTTCAAAATCACAGCCCTGTCAGCCTAAGCCCCCTGTCGCCGCCTCCTGCCAGGTACTTTCCATGTGACGGCCCTGACAGCTCTGAGTTGGGTTCCGCCCCTGACAATCAGCTTGCTTTTCAAATAGTCAAGGTTCCCTTCCCTCTGGCAGGTTAGAAATAGCAGCAGTGCCCACACCTCGCCTCCCTTCCTTCCTTCCTTGCTGACACCGCCTCAGACAGCCCCCTCTCCCTGGGGTAGAAGGCCCCTCTCATGGACTCAGCCCCAGGGCAAGTCCTCCAACGCTCTAACCGAGTCCAGCAGGAGAGAAAGGTTCTGTGTCTGCTTCTGGCCCAGGAGCCAGGCAGCCCACTGGAAGCTGTCTGAGTCCTGAGGGGTCAGGTGGCACCAGCCTGGCTATCCCCATCACCTGGAAGCTCTCACACCAAGCCATCCGCAGCTCACAGCTATCTTCCCACCATTTATCAGCCTCGTTATTCTGCGCTGTCATCCACTTCTTCATCCTCTAGGCTGAGTGCTGCCTTCATCCTGCTGGCCAAGGTGGTGCACCCCTTCATTCCTAGCTCCCCAGAAACCTCAATCTCCAAGGCCTGAGGTAAGGCAGGCCAGGCCTCACTCTAATGAACCGGATGTTTGTCCCCATCTCCTAAATCACAAGGTGAAATACCAAGGTGATGGGTCCTTGGATGAGATTAGGTCATGAGGATAGGCCATGGGATTAATGACCTTTTGAAAGGTCTGCTGCTATCAAGGCACAGTGGCTAACCCCAGCACCGTGGGAGGCTGAGGCAAGACGATCAAGGCAGGTTTGAAGCCAGCCTGGGCACCTTAGCAAGACCCTACCTCATAATTTAAAAATTAAAAAAGGGATGAAGTTATAGCTCACCATGAAGGCCCTGGGTTCAATTCCCTGCCCTCAAAAAGAGTCCTGGTAGGCAGGGTGGTGCATACCTATAATCCCAGCTACTTGGGAAGCTATCTTGAGGCCAGCATAAATAACAGAGCTTGGCTGTAGCTCAGTGCTAGCAAACTCACCTAGCATGCCTGAACCCTTGGGTTCAGTTCCCAGCACTGCAAAAATACATAATACACACAAATAAAATAGAAGCCTGAAGGAGATTGCTGTGTTGAACTAGGACCTTCGCTAGACAATGAATCTGCAGTTGTTTTTATCTTGGACTTCTGAGTCTCCAGAACTGTGAAGAATACATTTCCGTGGCTGAAAACCCACCCAGCCTGTGGTATCCTGTAGCAGCATGAAAGGACTAACACAGGAACTGAGCCAGGAAGGGGAAAGACACCTGCAAAGGAGCCACAACTTACCAGGGGGTCTTCGTGTGGCCTGCCGCCCTCCTGATTCCTGGAGTTGACATTCAGCTGCTCTACCACTCACCCCGCTCCTAAAGACGCACCCCTCCCCTGGCCTTATTTCCACCTTCAAGGAGGAAAGCCTGTCACTTCCTGCCCTGCCTGCAACGCACCCTCTCGGGCTCTTCACTTCTTCTCCCGCCAGGGTCAGGGCAGCCTTGACCTGAGGGCCCTGGCTTCTGCTTCTTCAGCAATCGCTCCTTCTGGAACTCCATCTTTCTGCCTCCAGGGGCTCTTACATCAGCCTTTTCAATCATTAAACTAGAGCTTTGTCATAAAAGAAACATGGTCATGGGAAGGGCATTAAACAAATACAAAGGGTGTCAAGGGAAAAGGTCCCGAGGAAGCCCCATCCCAAACCTTAGAGATGACCCCTTTTAACAGTGCTTACTGTACTCTTCCAAAATTTTCTATGAGTCCAGGTGTTACAGATATAGTGCTATCAGCCTATATTTTCTGTTCTTCAACTAGTCCTTTTCACTTGGCAATATACAGTCATGCATTGTATAATGCTGCTGCTGTTGGACTGTACAGGCTGGATATAGAGGACTGTGGTCCCACAGGGTGTAACAGAGCCAGCTCTGGTGGTGCACACCTGTAATTCCAGCTTTCTGGGAGGCTAAGGCAGCAGGATGGCAAGTCTGAGCCCATCTTGGGCAACTAAGCAAATTAGCAAGACCCTGTTTCAAAAATTCAAGGGGAAAGGCTCTGCGTTCAATCCTCAGGACTAAGAAAAGTTAAAATGGCGCTGAAAGGTTCCCATCAATTCATGACACCATCACTTCATGACACCGGAGTACAACACATCACTTGTGTTTGTGGTGATGTTGGTGTAAGGACACCACTGTGATGCCAATTGTATAAAAGTATATACCAACACATTATGTACAGTATATAATGCTTGATGACAATCAACAACTGTTACTGATATCTGGATTTACCATATTATTATTGTAGTTATAAATAAAAAAAAGGTTAATGTAGCTGGCTGTGGTGGTGGCATGCCTGCAATCCCAGCACTTGGGAGGTGGAGGCAGGAGAATCTTTGCAAGTCTGAGATCAGTCCGGTCTACATACTGAGCTTAAAGCCAGCCTGAATTCATCCTGAGATCCTGCCTCAAAAACACACGCACACACAAGTAAAACAATGCACTGTATCAAACCAGCAGCAGCTTCATAAATCTCATGGTTACTGTACCCCTTGACTGCGTCAAGAGACCACATCAAAGGGCTGGGGCATAGCTCAGGGACAGAGCACTTTCTTAGTATGTCTGGTTCCTAGTATTGCAAGAAGAAAAGAGAGAAAGCCACATCAAGCGACTGACCTATGCCACACAAGTCTGTGTAAGTTTGGCCCTGCAGTTTGCATAGCCCCAAAGTCACTAAGGGATACATTTCTTAGAACACACCCCCGTCACTGACTGACATATGACTAGCCGATTTGGACAGCCCTCTGTCAGCACAAACAGGTCTGAGACCTCCATTAAAGCCGTTTGAGTGTCTCCACAGGTGCCTAAGCAAGAGCTCTCCACACCTCCCTCCCACTCCGTTTTCATAGGGAGCATCCACACACACTTCTCCCAGCTCAGCAGCTCTCCCCCCCCCCCCGCCTTCTCCACCCATTCTCTGGCTCCTCCCCATCTGCCTTCTCATCACTTAAGCCAGAACTGTCCTCACCTGATATCTCCAGCACCTGACACTTCCTGTCCCACGTGGAGGTCCTACTACCCCCACATCCCCCAGCTGTGGGGCCTCTGCTTTCCCTGACCCTTTGAGCATCCAGGTTATCCAGAACTCCCCCCTGGGCCTCTCCCACATTCCAGCTGCTCCTCCTCCACCTGGGATGGTCATCTTCAGCACAGGGCTCCTGGCAGGCCAGTGCCACGCTGACAACAGACACAGGACACGTCCACCTGGAGATAGCCTAGAGACCTCCAAGGGGAGAGGGCTAAAGTGTGCCTGCATTACACTACCCAAAGCCTATGAATGTGACCCGATTTGGAAAAAGGATCTCCACGGATTAGGGTAAGGTCATGTCAGCCTGTGTTATCCAGCTAAACCCTAATTCCACTGACAAGTATTCTTAGAAGAGATCCCCAGAGGAGAGATACTGGACAACAGGAGAAGGCCATGTGCAGACAAAATCAAATTCCAGCTGCCACAAGCCAAGGTACATCAGAGGCTAGAAAAGGCAGAGGACTGTCTCCCAAAGGATCTGGAAGGCGCATGGCTTGCTAGATCCTTTGGCCTTGAACTTCTGGCTTTTGGAACTGTGAGGATAAATTTCTATTGTTTTAATCTGTTCAGTTTGTGGTAACTGTGGTTGCTCTGAAATCTAGTAACGATCTGCTCCAAGGAAGGCTCCACCACTCACCTGAGTCCAAGCCAGAAGCCAGGCATAACCCTCACAGCTTATGCTATCCACTGTCCACCGACCTCGAGGCCTGTGGACTCCTACAGCCTCACCCCTACATGGACTCTGTTTGCCTCTAGGCCACCCATCCTTTACTTGTCCTTTTCTGGTTCATATTTGACACAGCAAGGGGATTTAGCTCAGCGGCATAAGCACCTGCCTTGCAAGCAGGTGGTCGTGAGTTCGATCCCCGGTACCAAGAAAAAAAACATTTGACACAGCTAAATAGCATAATTCATAAAAGACTTCTGCCACTATACGAATGAAGTTCAACTGCTGGCTACTCCACTCTGGCTACTCCTGCTTTGTCCTCTCTTGGGCATTCCCCATGCCTCCCTGTGACAGCCTAGTCTGCTCTCACACGCCATACCCCTGATGCCAGGAGCACAAGGCTGAGTCTCCAAATAAACTTTGCTGTCTCCTTTAGGATGAGGCTGGAACACAGCCTGCCCTGGAAGCCTTCCTGACCTCCTTGAACTCTAAACAACTCTCTTAGGCTCTCCTTGCATCCCCCTTTCACATGTAACAACCATCAAAGAAAAGTGGGACTGGGGCTGGGGATTTAGCTCAGCAGCATGAGCGCCTGCTTTGTAAGCAGGCAGTCGTGAGTTCGATCCCTGGTACCGATAAAAATGAAAAAGACAAAAAAAAAAAAAAAGAGAAAAAAAAAGAAAAGTGGGACTGGAGATGCAGTTCAGGGGTACAGCACTTACGGGTTTGATTCCAACAGTGAAGGGGGAAAAAATGCCCTGGAGGCAGGGGTGGTGCACATACTCCTAATCTTAGCACTTGGGAGGCTGAAGCAGGAGGATCACTGCAAATTCAAGACCAGCCACAGCAACATAGTGAATTCAAGGCCAGACTGAACTGCACAGTGAAACCCTGTCTCAAAAAAAAAGTGATCAACAAATGTTCATTGAATGAATGCTTCTTGGTTCTAGCCATCTTAAAAATGGCAGTTAATGTTCTCTGGGGATTTCATCTGTCTGGCACAGGCCCACTTGGCTCACTCACTTAGCAAACATTCACTAAGCATTATTGTGTCGGGCACAGGAAGTAATCCGGAGGAAAAAATCAGTCGTGAGACACAAAGGGAATCCAGAGGAGGGACTGAGGTCTCTGGGTCTTCATGGCTGTATCCAGATTGGACTCTGAGAGACAGTTTAAGTGGGGCAGTTCAGTAACAATAAGAATCTTCTCCTCCAGTTGCATATTCTGAATGAGTACAGAGGTTTACACTTTAGAGCTAAAACCTGGAAGGGCTCCACGCTGAGTGGAAGAGACTCAAGGAAAGAGGGTAGAGTATAAGGGAGCCTCTTGTTCTGTTATTGTGAGCCAAGCCCCAGGAGACTGGCAATCACTGGTCGACAGATGTTGGCTAGTGTTTTATCACCCACTATAAACCGGCCCTGTCCTGGCGTTTTCCAGATGGTAATAAAATCCCTCTCCCCAGTAGTGCCTGGCCTGACCTTAACCCTACTCCAGAATGGCCCCAGGCAGTCTCTTACATGGGAAACTTACTTCTTTTTTCCTAACAGCTTTCTGCTCTGCCTTTTCCTGACCACCATGATCTTGCTATTTTTTCCAGAACATGCGGTCTTCACAAATTCCAACACTAGAAACTGTAGCCTGAGATGCCCCTGAAGACATCTTCTTTGGGAAGAAGTTCAACCCTAGCATTTCCCAGTGACCAGTCTTCAAGGTACAGAGGAAGGTAGAGTACAGTGTGGGCCGGTGCGGAGGGCCTTGAACGCTGTTTAGCTGTTCAGTATGAAAAACCTGTTCTGACAAATCCTTTGGCAGGTATTCTACCTTTACAATTCACTAGCTGGGAAAATTCCTCGGAAGCCAGGTGCAATGGCGAACACCTGCAATCCCAGCACTGGAGGAGGCTGAGACAGGACGACTGCAAGTTCAAGTCCTGCCAGGGCAATTCAGGGAGGCAGTGAATCAAAATAAAAATGTGCAAAGGGCGGGGGCTGTAACTCAGTGGCAGAGCACCCCTGGGATCTATCCTCAGTACCATCACCACCACCACACACCCACATTCACAAACTCCTTGGATGCGGCTTCCCTGCAGGAGTCCACAGTTGGGAACCATCGATTCAGTCAACAACCTCCAATTTCAGGTGAATTGATGTAGTCGCTGAAGCAAGGTCACCAGTAGGCAGTCAAGCCAGTTTGGTAGGAATTTTAGCCCAGAACTGCTTGAGATCAGAGTTTGTGTTTCATTCTAAGTGCTCAGGAAATCCCTCATACAGTTTAAGCAAAAGAACAAGGGAGTATGGTTTACATTTTAAAGTCATCCTTCTGGTGGCTGCAGAGACCCACTAAGAAGAGCAGAAGGACACCCAGGGTCCAGCAATGCACTGCCCTCAGAAAGTCCTCCTGATGCAAACACAACTTCCTGGAGATGGAAAACTTGCCCTGAGCGTGGTAACTAATTCCCCTAGCTTGTGGGTTAGGTTAGGTTTCCTTTGCCAATTAGGTTCAGATTTGGAGTCCCCTACTTCCAAGTCTCAGTCACCGCAGCAAAGTGGGGGGCTGGGGTGGGAAAATTAAGTACACCTGCGAGGGGTCTCTGGTCAGCAGCATTATCCTAGCCAGACACCCGCAGTGCAGGCCCAGCTCTGGGAGGAAGCTGCTCCCTCAAAGTGGGCAAGAGGACTGGGGTGGCTGCAGATGGCCCTGGAGAGTAAAACCCCTTTTTTCCCTTCCAGTTCTGGGCAATGTGAGTGAGAATGACTTGTAAGGACCCCCACTCCCACCCAGCCCGGGCTGTCACCTCTAGACTTCCCAAGGTCCCTGCTTACTTATGCGGGGCTCAAATCACCACCCCCTTGGAGCCCTTCAGACCCTGAAGTCCTCCTCCGGCCCCTGACACCCACACCTGATGACCCTCAGACCCAGCAACTGAACCTCTAAGCCTCCAGACCTGGTATCGCTGCCATAAAGAATGCGTTTCACTTCTTGCAAGTCTGCGAGGGGCAAGTACTTCTCTAAGCACTGCTCCAGCGACTGCCAGTCGGCTCCGGCCATGGCGGGAACTGCAAGTGGCAGAGTCGGTGTGGACCCCAGCTGCCTGCTCTCTGGCCCCTGGAGAGGCGGTAGCCAGCCCAGCTTACTGCCCTCCCCTATATTTACTTACCCGAGCCCCGGGCCACGTGCGGGCACGCCCCCCTCCATGCAAGCAGGCAGCCAATCAGTGTGCCAGGTCTCTGCGCGTGGGGGGTGGGCCTTGCTCTTTGCACCTCTTCTGACCCGCCCTAGTTCACACACCTCCCCCCCCCCCCAACTCTTGGCTCCCAGTCAACCTAGGCTCCGGAGATTCTGGCCAGCAGGACGCCCCTTGCCCTTTGTACCTCCCAGCTGCTTGGGGTTGCTCTTCTCCCCCTTTATGCTCTTCCTGCACTGTATCAGACTGGAGCATCCATGAGTCTGGTGTTGCAGCCTTCCAAGGATGTCTTGTAAATGCAGCAGATTTAAATGAGGTGACGCGGACAAGTGTGCTGACCCAGGGGAAGGGTAATTTCCAGCCTAGGAAGAGAAATCGCTGAAGGCCTCATGGAAGAGGCTTCATTGCTAAATCAAAACGCCTCAAGCTGAATTTGAACCCCCTTTCGCTGGTCAAATTTTATTTTCTGTATTGTGGTCTTCATTTCATTAAGGGCCTCACCACTCACTCAGGTGTTGAGCCTTGGGAGCCACCCTGGAACGCCTTGATTTCCTTTCTTTCCTCCCTAACAAGCAGGCACTAAATTCTGTTACATTCACCTAGTTTTGTTCAAATCCTTCCCGCCTCCCACCTCATGCCAGCAGTTGTGCCGTCTTTTGCTTGGATTCTTCTGTCTTCCAACTTGTTTCTCCGCTGCACTGCGTAGTGGTCTAAAATGAATGTCCTTCCGTCCCTGTACCTCTCCTTTAGGGGTGCCCCCCAGGAGTCCCCTCCACGCTCCATTTTGGGAACTCCCGCTCCTTTTCCTAGAAGCAGTTCAAACATGATCTCCTGCTCCACAGAGGCAGCTCCATCAGCCTTTCACAGACCACTCTTCGAGTGCATTTCTCAAGCACTGTTGTGTAAGCTGGAACTGGACCTGATGTACTTTTGTACCTGCCCTTGTTCAGTGTTGGAATCCAGACTGGATTTGAACTCACTTGGGTAGCCCGGGTTGGCCTGGAACTCACAGGAGATCCTCTTGCCTCAGCCTCCTGAGTGCCAGCATTACAGGCGTGTGCCACCACACATCATTTAATTTGTTTTTCTCAGAATGATAATGAGACATTTCACTACATCGTTCTATGATGATCACTAAGAGAGACTAGATTCTAGCCTGGCCTGAAATATCTAGCCAAATTCCACAAAAGTAATAACTGTTTAGAAGCACACACTAGTGTTTTGTTTTGTTTTGTTTTTGCCTTGTTTGGAAAACCATTCTTTCTGTGACATCATTGTGTAGTTTCTGAATGTATAACCCATAATTCTGTAAATGACTAAATGCATGGGGAGGAAGGATAGAATACACACAATTTCAGTACGGAGGCTGAAGCAGGAAGGTCTCAAGTTGGAGGCCAGCCCGGGTTACATAGTGAGTTTAAATTTAGCCTGGACTACACAATGAGACCCCGTCTCAAAAAACTTTTTTAAATAAAATTTAAAAAAAAAACCTTAGAGCAGGTGTTAGGTAATCTTCATTTCAGCCCTGATTCTATAGTAACCTCAGTTGTCCCATTGTAAGAAAAGGATAGAAAGGGAGGAGGAGACAGAAATTAGAGATGAGTCGCACTCTAGTGTTTTATAAGTCTGCTTTTTATAAAATGTGACCCTAATAATCTAGTCATAAGTTCCTCCATACACTTATTTATTTATTTTGAGACAGGGTTTTGCTAGATAACCCAGGCTGGCCTTGAACTCACGGTGATCCTCCTGCCTCAGCTTCCTGTGTGCTAGGACTACAGGCATGTGCCACCACCCCCAGCTCTATGTGCTTATGTAGAGCCAAAGAGTTTCAATGTAGAGCCTGGTTCTATGGAAAAGGTCACTTGTTAAAAATTACGCTCATGTATGCTTTTAGGTGTTACTTTTAAATTCACAGTATGCTCTAATTGTAATCCCTGGGGCAGGTATTTAAAGTACTAGGGGTTTTGCTCATTGACACCAAAGGGCTGCAATTTTATAATTGGTGAGCAGTTACCAAGGGGGTTACAGGTGTGCAACACTGTGCCTGGCTTTTTTTTTCCCTCAAAACCTTTAGTCTGGCCCTTACAATGAGGGTAAATTGGTTACAACTGTGAGGAGAGCAATCACACCTGTTTTTCCTGTGAAGGCGGCCTGATGAGCATAAAGGGATAAGACTTAGACAGAGAAAAGAGGCAGCTGTGGCCCGGAAAAATGGGACAGAATGTGGCATAGTGGTTATATCTGCACAGTCTTTGCTGCTCAGGCCTGATGCTGATCACTTTATATGTATTAAATAATTTTATTCTTGTACAACTGTCTTAAGGTGGATTTTTTTTGTCTACTCTGAAAATGACGCTGATATCCAAAGAGACTGGGTGATTAACTGTTCCACGATCTCATGGGAAGTTTGGGATTCCAGTCCACACAGTCTGGCGTCAGATCCTTGGCCTTGCTTAACCTTACAGCGTACAAGGCTTTTGCATCTTCTGGCCCCATTTTATCCTCCCAATAATAACACAATGAGGTAAGGTTTAGGAGGCCTTGGTATTTCCAAGATTTCCAAATTAAACTTGCCATTTACTGGAAATGCAACTATACGAGCCAATGTTATGCATGTAACCATAGGGAAAAAGATTTTTTTTTAAAATTTTATTTAAGGAGAAAAAGAAAAAAGAACAAAAAAAGTACAAGTTATACAGAATTTCAGAAAAATAAACAGTAGGAAATCACTAGTTAATAGATTACATATTGTCATCTTAGAAATAGTTGTTCAAGTTAAAAAATTAAAGCATATAAAGTGGACGTTCAAACAGTGAGACTGCAAACAGTTCTGTTCAATGATCCAACAGAACTCAGTAATATGGTTATCCATCTTATACACTTAAATATACATGCAGTTATATCACTTAGAGCACTTTCTTTTCCTCTATTTTTTACAATGACAATTATACATTTTGGGTTTTATTACTCCCACAGTTCTTATTACTTTTTTTGAAGAGAATAAAATCAAATATGACATAACAAAACAGAGTCAGTCAAATCAAAAGGATGGACATAATACATAATGTAAAAACAGAAAACAAGGTGATCAACAATGGTTACCATAATGCCTCTTACTATCTTAAAAAGAATTGCCTGTATCATCAGTTATAATAAAATTGAACAAAACAGTAAAGAACAAAACCAATAAAACTGAAACATTGGAGACATTACAGGACTTCAAAAGAACACAATAGTCAAACCAGAATGGGCGTCATAGTGAATCTTATTGTCTTCACAGTTGTTGCCTATACTCTCAAACTTGGTAGTAGCAAGCAAAACAGAATAGAGAAAAATCAGTCAAACCAGATGGTGAGAGCAATACAGGGTTTCAAATCAAGTTAATAGGAAATCAAAGTGAGTTACTATAATATATCCTGCTATTTTTAAATTTATTTTCCCTTAAAAAGATAAAAATAAAAAAGTAAATAATAAAAAAGGTGATTGAGATAAAAGAGGATATAACAACAAAACAGCACAGGCCAAAATATAACCATTTAAGCAAAATAGTGTTTCACCACAAGATATCCTGACATAAAAGTAGTCACCATAGTGTCTCTTTCCTTGAAATCTTCAAGTATAACTTTGTATACTGTACCATCAAACACATCAAGACAATGTAAAACCATTCAAGAGAATGACAGTATTACAGGGTATTTAGAACCAACTAACCAGAAAATGAACAATGGTTTCTGTATAATCTCCTTGTCTATAAAAGTTTTTGTTTATATTATCACATATAATAAAATCCAATAAGATACAACCTGTTAAGACCAATGGAGACAGAAGAACAAAAGCTTGATGGGACTTCAAAACAAGATGATATTAAATCAGTACTAGCTATTATGATTGTTTTCTCCAAAATAGCTGTTCCTACCATCCAATCTTCTCTGCCTCATTTCTGTTGAGCTCTTTTTCTTCATTAGTTATCAGTTTGACTTCTTTATTTTGCTTTCTGCTCCATTCATTGTGGCCTGTGTGCCACTGTTTCTGGAATGTTGGTATTTTTCTCTTTTAGAATGTCCTTCAGTATTCTCTGTAGAGTTGAATTGGTGGTTGCAAATTCCCCTAGTTCCTCTTTATCCTGGAAGCACCTTGTTTCTCCATTAATTTCTAGGGACAGTTGTGCAGGATATATCAATCTTGGCTGGAGGTTATTGTCTTTCAAAGCTTGAATTATTTCCCCCCATGCTCTTCATGATTTTTATTTATTTATTTATTTATTTTTTCTTGAAAGTGTTCCTTGTGAACTCTTCGTGATTTGATAGTTTGTGCTGAGAAGTCTGCTGTAATTCTGATGGGTGTTCCCTTGTAAGTGATCTGTTTCTTATCTCTGACAGCTTTTAATATTCTGTTCTTATATTGGATTTCTCGAATTTTGATTATTATATGCCTGGGTGTAGTTCTGTTTGGGTTGTAGGTGGCTGGGGTCATATATGCCTCATACATCTGAGTATCTTTACCTTTTGCTAAATTAGGGAAATTCTCCTGGATTATTTCTGTGAATAGCCTTTGTAGTTTATTTGAGTCCCTAAGTTATAGATCCTCTTATCATCTTCTAGCCTTTGTATTATTGCTGTTTGTTTCCTTGTTATTTTTAAAAGTTTTTCATTTCATACTCCCACCTTACAAATCTGTCCTCCAGTTCAGATAATCTATCCTTAGTTTCTTTCAAGCTGTTATACCAGCTTTCAATAGAGTTTTTAGTTTCCTGGTAATCTCTTTGAACCTGCTTCACATATTCTATGTTTTCTCTATTTTCTCCATCAAACAATTCTCCCCTTTTTTTCTGTTCTTCCACCATCTGTTTTTTTCTTGGGCAGTGCTTAGCATTTCTCTAACTACTCTACTTCTATCTTACTTTACTTGGTTAAATACTTCAGTTTTGAACTCATCTATGAGGCTCTGGAGATA